TCCCCCCATCTAGTTAGCACTGACCCAAATTGCTCAGGTGATTTTAGTTCCTCATAAAATAAACTTACCAATAAATCGATGCTTATTACCAAACAGCTTATATCCAATACTTCAGGCCATAGAGACGGCTGACATTTACATACTCCGCCGGCTATTTAGAAAGACCACACTTATGCACCCGAGAATGTCAGAAGCCGTGTGTTCCTGATTGTGTCGTTTGTACTACTTATGCTGACAGACCTAAGTAGTACGTTACACCATTCGGAAGTAGACAGCCTGTCAAGAGAAGATTGAAGAGATCGAAATGAAGAGAACAGGAATGTAAACAGAGTTAATATAATAAAGAGAGAAATGGGAGAACCATGAAGCATGTAAAGGACGACTGATGAGAATGTGCAACTTATGTATTTAGTGTATGGTTTTCATATTTTACGAAAGCATTCTGTAATTTTGCATCAACAAATAAACTAGATACCCCCACCTGTTCGGTTTTTCTCACACAAACGATCGATCTACTCATTTTGAAGCTTACTTCTCTACACTTTAATTCTGTGGTCTCTAGTATCACAACAATTCGATCTCACACACAGTAATATGATAGTTGTTAGTCTCTTTCATGTCATTTCTCTTAAACAAATGCTCCCATTTATTCTCAAGAAATATTAACCCAAATTAAACATCAAGTTCAATAGAATAAGTCCAGCCAAGTAGTCATGCTATACATATTGTACAATATTAAAGACTATAAAGCACTCCATTATATTAAGATGTGAGTTCAAAGAAATTTGTCAGTTTAAACAGGGCTGTCATAAAGATACTAGATATTCGATTGCTGTTTCAGATTTCAGATTTGTGTAGTAAGGAGAGAAGGCCTACGGCCTATGTTATTCCTTTTCTAGTATGCTTCTGTGAGTGTCCAGTCTTCTCTTGAAAGAGTCAATTGAAGGTGCGGACACCACTGCTTCAGGCAGCAGGTTCCAAGTATTGATGACTCGGTGTGAAAACCTGTATGCCACGGGTATTTTGTTCGTTCTTGGCTTTTCTACTCGCCTGCTATGTCCTCTGAGGTGTCCCGATCTAGTGGGAAGAAAGAGAGAGAATAAGTTAGGTCCGAAATCATTTCTCAGTATTCTGTACATCAATATTAGATCTCCCCTTAGTCTGCGATAGGACAGAGTAAAGAGGTTCAGTTTTTCAAGCCGCTCTTTATATGATAAACCCGGAGTTCCGGAATTGCACGCGTAGCTGCCCTCTGTACCTTTTCTATTATGTCCGAGTCACCTTTTAAACAGGGGCTTGCAGCCTGAACACAGTTCTCTAACTTAGTTCTCACTAAGGATGTGTATAATGTGGTGAACATGGTAGTATCAAGCTTAGTGAATGTCCTTTTTAAAGCCCAGAGGGTTCGAAACCCCTTAACTGCGACCTCCCGGCAATGGGCCGTCGTCTTAAGATCATTGCTCACTGTCACCCCTAGGTCCTTATGAGACCGGACTACGGGTAATGACACATCCCCTATGTTGTACGTATTAACCTTTGAATCCCCCAAGTGCATGTAGACACACTTTTCCGAGTTGATAGGCATTAGCCACTCTTTAGACCAGTTTATCATATTATTTAAGTCCGCCTGAAGAGTAAATGCGTCTTTGTCTCCAGTTATTACTCGCCAAATTTTTACATCGTCAGCGTATAATAACATTGGAGACTGTACTATACTTGTAAGATCATTAACGTACATTATAAAAAGTAAAGGACCTAAGACGGAACCTTGGGGTACTCCACTAAGTACTGGTCTCCAGATGGAGCACTTGGAATTTATTCTTACTTTTTGCCTACGACCTACTAGGAAATCCTTAATCCATTTTAAAAGAGGTCCGGCAATACCAAGGTTTGCCAACTTCAATAGCAGCCTATTAGTTGGCACCTTGTCAAAAGCCTTACTGAAGTCTATGTAGACAACATCCACTGAGTTTCCGTTGTCTAGCGCATTAATCCAGAGCTCCCTAGCTATAAGGAGGTTCGTTGTACAGGATAGACCCTTTCTAAAACCATGTTGTGCCATGTTCAGCAAGTTATTGGTTTCCATAAATGCTGTTATGGTCCGTTTGATTATTCTTTCCAGTATTTTAATTACAACACTGGTGAGGCTTACGGGTCTGTAATTTGATGGAACTTGTCGTGGACCTGTTTTATGTATGGGAGTGACGATTGCGTCCTTCCAGTCCATAGGTAACACACCTTGGTCAAGTGACATTTTGAATATCACAGTCAGTGGGGCTGCGATATATTGGGCAATATGTCTCAAGATTTTAGGGTGTAGTTCATCTGGTCCTGTTGACTTCTCCATGTTTAGGGTGCTAAGAGCCTTAAGCACATCGTTTTGGTCGAAGTCCACGGTGAGCAGCTGGTTTGTTGACTCTGTAATTGGGTCTGGTTCTTTCTCTAGAGGAGGTTCCTGAGTGAAAACTGCCCCAAAGTAGTCAGCCATAACCTCAGCTTTTTCCTGATCTTCCTCTATCATTTCAGATTCACTTCCTACTTTAATTAGGTTGGGAATCCAATGATGAATCCTTGTTCTGTAGTTTATGTACGAGAATATCCTCTTGGGCTGCTTGAGTGCAGATTCTGCCAGCTGCATTTCATATTTTCTTTGCGCTTCCCGAATTTTAGTTATACACTCGTTTCTTATCGATCTGTAACGTTCCATCGTACCCGCTGTGCCAAGGCGGATGGCAACATCCCAGCATTTCTTCTTTTGTCTTAGTAAGCGTCGAATATCCCGCCCTATCCAGGGATGTCCGTGCTTCTTTTTCTTTGGGACAGTCCAGGGTATGTATGGTTGAGTTACCCGATTGTATAACTGCCTGAATAGAGTCCATGCCTCTTGTACTGATGCCTTTGAGTCAATTTCCCAGTTCTCAGCCGATGCTGCGGAGTTAATTGCCTGCATATCTGCCTTCCATATGTTAGGACGGGCCGGCGCAATTGTTTGACAAGCAATCTCAGCCATGAATTTGAATAAGATGACTGCATGGTCACTTCTCCCAAGTGGTGGGAGAAAAGCCGTTTGACCAACGTCATCACCGTGTGTGAAGACTAAATCTAAAAGAGAAGAGTTTCTTAAGTCGTATCTTGTGGGATCTCTAATGTGTTGGAATAATGCTAGTCCAATCGAGGTTTCTAACAGTTTGGAGTCGAACGACGATATGGATGACCCTACTTCTAAGTTAACCCAGTTTATATATGGTGCATTAAAGTCGCCTACTACAAGGCTTTTACCGTTGTTACACCAGGACTTAAGTTTACTAAGGAGAAAATCATCTGCTACACATTCTGGACTGCGATAAACTACAACTACTTCAATATCTTGCCTTCGGCATTTCAACTTACATCTCACCAGTTCACATGTCCCTGAAACATGTGCTACTGTCTCAGCTAATCTTATGGTTAGGGTACTTTTGGTGTACAAATAACCCCGCCTCCCCTTCGGTTTAATCTATCAGCCCTACTGGTTATGAAACCAGTCAATTGGATTTCACTATCTAATACTTCTGACGTTAACCAAGTTTCCGAGACAGCGATAACGTCCGGTTTTTCTTTGTCCACCACTGACTTCAGCTCCGCCATTTTATTTAGTAGGCTGCGAGCATTTGTGTAGCACACTTTTAAGTCTGTGGAGAGCTTTCCCTTGCCACCCAGAGTGGCTTGGGGATTTTTTTTTCTATTCATCCTGTCAAGTTATATCCTTCTCATTACCTAATAGTTTAATGTCATATTGTAAGGAAACATTTTGTTGTTCATTTATTGGTGATTGGACAGGGGATCATGTATTTATCTGCACAAACGAATTTGGATACATAGAAAGACGAGACATTTTCAAACTTTTAACACCTGTTTTCGTTTGGAGATGAGAGAAGTTCAAACTGAGGTACGTATGAGAGTTTCGTTTCAGCTTAAAAAGCGGATTTGTATTTCGCCTCTTTTCCAAGTACAATATATACCTTATTACACTTGTCATTGCTAAGAACACAGGTTATGTTGAAATACCAAGGAAATAATACTAATTCTTGTAAGTAATGCAAGCAGTTTTAATGAGTTCTTCAAATCAGATAGAGGATACCATATTAGATATAAAGATCTACTGAATTTTGTTATTTGCAGATTATCTTAGTTACTTTACACGTGAAATCGTAATACACACATAACGGCAGTTAACTTGTGTATGCACATTGAAAGTTCTCACAATAAGTCATGAAAATAGCGTCACAAACATTTGATTTTTACCCCTAAATCTAACGGATCTTATTCTTGGGCCATAGTCTTTGATAAGCGGGAATACTATAGTGTTCCCACTTTTAGTTTAGTAGCTTAATCATTACTTCTTATCTATTTGACTGTAGATCATCGGACATTTAAATTTTCACAAACGAATATCTGTGTTCACTGTGTTGAAAAATTATGATCTTCGCTTGATTTTCGTTAGACAGAAATGGTGGGCAGAATATTCCCTGGAATCTAAGACAAATAATTGTTTAATAAATGTGAGACACTTTGAGTGTCTTTTCTTGATCCTATGATCAATCTGGCAAATGACAATAAAATACCGAGTGCAATTAAAGAGAGGGGTCATAAAACAGTATTCTCCTCCATTGCTTAACCTAAGGCAACTAGAAACCTTCGTTTAAAATATCAGCTGGTGAGATACATGATGATAAAGGATTATCACAAGCTTTTTCTCACATCTATTTATCCTCATTTCCTAGTATATCTCCTCAGGTTTATTTCACTAGTATAAAGTGGACCATAGTGTGTCGGGTTCTAGAAGTTTGGAACATTATGACACAGCTGTTTGATCATTATTTGTTTTTATGTACTTCACAGGTCATTATTATGATCCTGAAAAAAGGCTGGATGAAGTTGGTTACCCGCTCCTGATGATTGTTTTTCTTTTCAAAGTTTGTTTTAAGGGACAAACGATATGGTTGCTGTAAGGTGATATCACGATGGCTTTTGAGTAATGTGTTATAAAATATCTTGAATATTGAATACTGAGGTTCAAATTTTGGAGACAAATTCATAGATACGTATTACCAACTAAAATGGATGACAGCAACAGAAAAAGCACCTAATCGGTCATTTAGATACATACTCAAATCCCTTTATATTCTTGAGAGTGCAACTTTACAGCTCCATAGATACCAGTGTACACTAACAACATTCGTTATCGGTATATTACGGTTTATTAAGATCATGTTACCGTTAATCTGTCTACAAACTTTATTTAGGATTCTTTAGGGAATAGAAGTATCTAGAGGTCTTCAAATCTTTCGACACTGGCGAGGCAATCTACATGTGGCATAGTTTGCTGAACAGATATCCGTGAAGTAAAGAGATAATGAAATTTTGTCAAAGCTCGTTAAACATTAAAAGATGTTCAAGCGGCATAAAATAAACTTATAAGGTGTGTAGTCTTCCCTTGAGGTGATATTTTATCTGTTTAGACAAATGCGAATGTGTAGCCCGTGATATACTTGCGCAATAAACACAAAGGTTGAAAGCTCTTATTGGCTTTAGCGTTGTGATACGATTGTTTCTTTTGTGATCAATCTCCCTACATAAGTTTCTATTTGTTCACTTTGGGGTGAACATAATTTGTAAATCTTTTAATCTTCAGTTTGCCAAAGCCGAAAAGCAATCACCATGTAACAACTTGTTGGTCTAAATATTAAGTAACGGCTAAAATCAGTTACTAAACCTTATGTGTCTAGCTTTCGTTTAAAAACAACAACAGTTTTTTTCTGTTTACTGGTCGTAGAATTTGTTTGCTCTATGAACCATCTCATAGTTTAAGATAAAGGATGAAATGGTGAACATATTTATCCAAATCTGTTACAAAGCCGCGATCTCAAAATATTACTGAATAAACCATTCTTCGAGCTTTTACGCATTCCGTTTGCAAAATTTGTAAGAACCTTTGAAATTTCATGGGGCAAGGAAGCCAAGGGTCTTTCTAGCACAAGGCCTAGAAATCACCGCTGTTGTACTAGTCAAACCAACATATTATTCATTCGAGTCAATCTGCTTACGGCATTTATAAAGGTGTGCTGTCTTGTAGTATCACTAAAAATAAAGACAAAAACGACATCTGCTTTCAGCAAATCATTTAGTGCTACCACGGAGTTTCGCAGGACACTTCTTTGGAAATTAAAAACGTCCCCTATCTGATAAAACTACGAAACGACTGAAGAATATGGGCAAATCATAATTCAATAATTTTAACGTTTTGCATATGAGAACACTTCTCCATAATTCTTTTATACGACTTGTGAAAATGTAAAAAAATTTCTCTTTATGATGTTAATCCACGCCTTCAAAAAGCGCTAGATTTTATAATGTTTTTCATTACTTGGTTTAAAAACAAATTGTTTACTTTGTTTTATGTATTTTCCCTTAGAGTTGATAGTGTTTTTGTTTCTTTGATGTTTTGTAATTATTTGATGTATTGACTGCAGTGATACGAAAAATGTAGTTTCTGCTTACCGATATCAGGTGTTAAGGTTCATCTCTTTTATGATACATTTTCCATCTATACTGAACATTCTGATTGCTTCCATCAAACAATAAACTACGGATTAACTATATCAAACCTGCATTGTTTTAAATAGCCCGCTGACCATAAGGATAAATATCATTTAAATTTTAGTTCGTGCCTAATGTTGTTGAGGATCGTGATTTGGTAAAGAGCTAATTAGCAAACTGAAATTCTTTTAAACAGAATATATTTTATAACGTCAATTCACATCATTCGATATAGTTAAGTTTAATACCCATAACGAATGCATTGTGTTTCTCATGCTATGTGCACGTTTGCCTGAGGACCTATGTTAATATCACTGAATCCGATTGAGGGCTCATAATATATTGTGTTTATCATTTATTAGTCACTTGAGTTTTTTAATTATCATGGACGGTTATTGATATTGTTGTGTTATTTCATGAACTCTATTTAGAGTGTCTTTTCTAAGGCGATCAGCGTAGACTTTATTTGTTATGTCTAAAAGTTCAATTCAAGTTGCTACTAGTTCGTTTACAAGACCTAAAGTCATATTACTTTTTATGCAACCACAGGAAGAATTAGAACAGGCTATCAAAGAAAGTGAAACAAGACTGATGATACTAGACTTTTTTGCGGATTGGTGTGGGCCTTGCAAAAGAGTCGCTCCAGAACTGGACAAAATTTGTGAAGAATGGGAAGATGTTTTATTCATAAAATTAAATGTAGATGAGTTGGAGGTAGGTGTTGTGAACTTCGGAATTGTTCTGAAGTTTGATTAAATATTCTTTTCATAATCACTTTCTGAATAAAAGTATTAGAAAAATTGCTTTAAGCTATTTAGAGTCGCTATCTTATAAATTGTGCCTATTTCTGAGTATACAGAATATCATCAATCCAGACACAAAACGACTAATTTAAGCACACTTATGTTATTCACAGATTAAGCAGATTAGGCTTCAAACTTATCCTATCGTCTATGTTCATGGTTAAATATGACTCTTCTAGCCTGGTAAATGGCGTAGGCGTTAAAACGTATTATTCTTTCTCAAACAATACCGACAGCAATATTTAGATGGACAATCAAAGGTTAGTGGCTAAACCATCCAGATATGAGATACAAAGTCTCTATAGTTTTTCCCTTTTGATACAAATAATCTCCGTTGTCTCAATTCGTCTTGTTAAAGATTATTTTAGTGACAAATCTGATCAACTGATTTTTGCACCTAATTTTTACCAGCAAATTATAGTTTGGAATTGGTTCTAGGGACTTTTGTTTGTTTATCCTTCCAACCAAATCGAATATGTATTTATAGTTACTATTTCAATATATGTGTAGTTGGTTAACATTTGTTCCGTTCTTCTGACACTTAGGTAAGTAGTTGCAGTGTTTATATCTTAGCGGGAGCACATCCACCAATCTTTAGATTTTATTCAGATAAAAAGTCATAGATGTGATAAAAAGTATACAGTTGACTTTAGTACTGATCAGTAGCTTAATAACATTGTAGTATCCAAACAAAGGATTAAGCGTTAAATTACCATGTTAAGCTTGTTACAGTAAACTTACAACGTTATTAAACTTGGTCGATTAGTTACATGTGGTTTGAACTTGTAGTGACGTTTCAGAAAGTAATTCTTATTAATGCGGACATGGTTTATAACATTTTGATATCTCGATGAATGGTATGTATATATACTTTGTGATATTATGTTAACTAGCAAATACATTCCTCTTTGTCAAAAGTATGCATCTAGCATATCTTATGGTCATTTTCCTCTAAATGTCTTTTTTTATCCTGCGGTGATGATTATGATACATTCTATACTGTGAACTAGAGCTGTGGGGCACAGTCAAATGAAATAGGATTGCCTTTATTAGAATCTGAATTTTATTCATAAAAGTTGATCTTCCATTATTGTTGCTAGCAAGACAATAAAAGCTCATAAAAGAATGTTTCTACCTAAGTTAATACTTTGGAAACAGGAGATCAGTAGAACTGGAAAGATATTTACAAACAGAAAGTAAAATAGTCGAAAAGAGGGCCCTCGTTGACTAAGATAGATTGCGTATTGTGTATTTCCTGTTAATCCTCATTACTGTTAGTTTGTTGGTTTAAAAAGAAGAAATAACTATTGAGACATCAGAATAATCCACTAAATAGGTAATTGCAGTCCATTATTGCAATACGGAAATATGGATTGTTTAGCATTGCTCTAACGGTACATCAGATAATGATATTTCCAGACAAAGAATGGTCTTGTTAAAGAGTGCGCGGTACTATTTTTCTATGAAAACAGTTTTCAATGACCTTCTAGCTGTTCAATTATTTTGATTTCTGCCTTTATTATCATACTTTCTTTTCTTAAACGGTCTAATAATTTAGGTAATTTCGCAAATTTTGGCAAACCTACAAAGGCTTAATACGTAGTCAATCACGTTGTGTTGAGTCAACCCTCAATTTGCCATAGTGCTCTTTCTATGAGGCACTAGAAATAAAACAGACCACTGGTACCGAAAGTTACATGAAATATAGATAGGGCCACAATTTATTTAAACATTATTTTCACACACAAAAGTAATAGAAATCACGGGCTCTACTGGCGACAAGAGTCAAGGTAGGTTCTGTTATAGATTAAAAATAATAATTCCTAACAGTATATGAAGACAGAAAAATTACCCCGTTAACAGACTGATACATCAATTATTGGGCTGGTCAGATGGACTCCTAAGATTCATATTCTTGAGAAACGTAATATTTTCAGTATTTATTGTTATTGACAATTAAAGTTTTTCCTAGGCATCATCCTCACTTGTACTTTTATTTTTAGTCTGCAGCCGAAACGTATGCTATAGCCGCAATGCCTACATTCATTGCATTCAAAGGCGGCGAAAAAGTGGACGAAGTTGTTGGTGCGAATTTAGACAAACTGAGAGAGATGATTGAAAAGTATAAGTAAATAAACTACGGAGGCTAATGAAAAAATCATTTCACTGAACATCTTTCTGTATCACGATTAGTCATATATTGCACTTAGTTACTATTATATGTAAAAGATATTTATGAATTGAGCGACATTTAACATTTCATTAATTAAAATTGATGATAAATTTCTGTTAACATATATATGAGAAGCGATACTTTAGTTTTCATTAAATATGTTCACTAAACAAATATTATATTTCACTACAGCTGATTTGGTTATTTTGTTACTTGTTAAGCTGTTTTCGTCTGTTCTTGTGGAGTAAATTGATTGACAACATCGTATTATTTTATTATCAGAAAGGAATGTATAAACGCTACACAATATACAGTCACTCATCTTTAAAATATCAACTAGAAACGGTAATTCACCAGATTACATGAAGTGTGTCAACAAAAGGAATACCATTAAGGTAAATAACTAGTTTTGATGTTGGCTACTAAGGACAAACGGCAGAAAAAGCTGATTCCAGTGATCCTTGTCGATTGCCTTTCAAACCATCGAGTGAATCTAACACTGATCATTAAAAGAGTATCCTATATTTAGGGAAATCTGTTATAAAACAGATTAGCTCAATGACTGTAATTTATTCCTACAGTATTGTGTAGTTTATTGTAAACTACCTATCATGCATCATCGTTGAACAATAAACTGTATGGAACGCGTCACTGTACACCAAATTTCTTGATTATGAAAAGGCGTTTGATGGTGCGGATAGGAGAACCTCGTGAAAACACCTTCGACACTATGGTGTACCTGAGAAAATCGTCAACATCATACGGAATTCATACGACAGACTACACTGCAAATTCGTGCATGGGGAATAGCTGACAGACGTATTCCAAGTAAGGACTGAAGTCAGACAAGGCTGTCTATTCTCTCCTTTCTTCTTTCTTCTGGTGGTCAACTGGATTATGAAGACCTCAACATCTGACGGGAAGCACGGAATGACAGACGATTTGGACTTCGCAGATGATCTGGCCCTTCTATCCCATGCACTTTAACAAACAGTGTAGCAGAAGTCTCTGCATCCGTAGGCCTCAACATACAAAAGGGAAAAAGCAAGATCCTCAAATACAACACGGAGAACACCAACGAAGTCACATTTGATGGAGACACTCTGGAAGAGGTGGAAACTTTCACGTACCTGAACAGCAGAATCGTCGATGAACAAGGAGGATCCGATGCAGACGTAAAGCAATTATTAGCAAATTAAGAACAACATTCCTACATTTGAAGAAAATATGGAACTCAAAACAACTTTCAACCAACATCAAAGTCACGATCTTGAATACGAATGTCCAGACAGTCCTACTATATGGAGCTGAAACATTGAGAACTACTACAACCACCATAAAAAAAGGTAAAAGTATTTATAAACAATTGTCTACTCAAGATAATCAATGTCTGCTGGTCAGATACCATCAGCAACAACCTACTGCAGAATAAAAAACCCACCTTCCATCTGAAGAGGAAATAGGGAAAAACTCTGGAAGAAGGTAGGACATACATGGTGGAAGTCGTCAAACTGAATCACGCGGAAGGCGCTAGCTTGGAACCCTGAATGGAAACATGGAAGAGGAAGTCCATAGGAATACACTGTATCGAGGATTGGAAATAGCCAGGAAAAGGATGAATAGCAACCGTAATCAACGTGAAAGGATTGATCAGGACAGAGTTGGATGGAGAATGATGGCGGGTGAACTGTGCTATTTCACTAACAGTGGTAAGTAAGTGACTTAACCCAAGTCACTTGTTTGAAGGGGTACAATAAATCTGTATTGAATTTTGATTTTAGTACTTAGAGTAGCTTGCTTAAAATCAGTTTTCTTTTTATCTGAATTATAAACATAAATTATCAGGTCATGTTTTCGTATTTATTGATGGTAATACTGGAGTCGGAAATACTGGAAAATAAGAATTATTTTCTATCAATAACGATAATTCATTGACTAACGTGTAAAATAGATTAATATATATGATCATTGGATTTCATGATTTCCTGATACAGTCATTGTAAAGTGTTTTTTATCACCGAAAGTTTAATTTTCCCATACCATGTACTTGACTGATTTGGTTGATATTTGTTTTACAAATCAGATCCCCATTTGACCCCTGGGTTAGTGATCAGATGTTTAAATATCTATTTTAATTTCATGTATTTGTTTATTTAGTAAACTCCATAACTATCTCCTAAATGTGATATTTTATCAATGATAAAATATTGTTAGTTAAAATCAACTACTTCTTTTACTAAAATAAATTGTTCATTGCAATAATGTAGTGATAATAGAGGATAGTTTTACCAAATATGTCTCTATTATTCGTATTTTCATTATCAAGTTGTATATTAGATAATTTTAATGTGATGTAACAAATCCACAGTGAAAACTTTAATTGTTCTGCATCATTAATGCTCATATTTTGTAGAACTGAGATAATGATAATTTATAGTTCAATGAATTGTACTTATGAGTTAGTTAGATATATACATTTTATTTGATCTAATTCTTTGTAAATCAAATAGAGAAATCCCTAATAATACATATCAGTATGAAAACATAGGTGTATTGGAATCACTGTTCATATTTGATGGGACTTCAAGTGAGTATTGCTGAAGTGTGGGGGCCTAAGTAAGAGTCGTAAGTCGGCAAGTGAAACAGTGAACCATAATTGACCAAGGTGATTAAAATATGTGATACATATTTCGAAATACTGTCTACCAGAAACGTAATGCTGACTGGGGTAGAAGTAGATTGGAATAAATCTAGAGATGGCTAATCAACGACATGACATCAGTCCATGAATTGACCATTAGACTGACCCCATATCAACAGGTATAGACTTCCAGCTTACGATTCGTCCGACAACTGTGACTAATGGTTGGAGTAATTATGTGATATGCCCCAAAATCCTGTAAAGTGGCACAGTCGGATCCATTTCTTATCTTCCTCTGATAGAATGGCTTGGTTTTATTTTACAATCCTTATTCTTAGAACTCATTGCTTTCTACAAAAGTAGATTTCCTATGTTTTGCTTTTCATGACATGTTGATAAACCTAATCTTTTGCTCTTCACTTTGCTAATTTTTTCTTTTACTATGTTTATATTAGTTGGGGTAAGTCGAACTGATATGTTTTCCTCTCAGGCCATACGCTATCTAAGACAGACTAAAAGTTCGATTTAGTTAAAATGCTTGTCACAGGCTAATGGATGTTAATGGAAAATACGCTTGTTCAACGAAGATATATACTTAAAATAATAAAGAAACCCATGACATCACTGAAAAAGAATTCAGACAGTATCATTTACTGAAGTCTTAAAATGGTATTTATAGTTAATTTACAAGTAAAGTAGTCTGTTGAAAGATAGGAGGATCATTATATCATATCATATGTCATAGAAATTTGCTTAATAATCTAGAATTGAAGAGATAATAAAACGAAATTAAAATTGAGAATGATAATTGTCCACTTGACGAGTATGAGAAGGGTAAAAGATAAATTAAAAACATGAAGCTGATAATAAGGAATAACTAAAATTAAGATTTAAAAAAACTAACCAGATAAAATAAAACCAAATTACCATTTATATAAAATTAGGCGTTGGAGTCATAAAAGAATGATGGCTTGGACCTGTTTCTTTGCACATAGAGTTCAGGTTTGAAAAAATGGATCACCAGTGAATAAGTTATTCATTTGTACTCCTTTCCAACCAAACCGTCTTACTATGTAAATAATTTTAAAGGATTTATCAGAGAAGGCTATGTGACCAGAGTTTCTAAGATGCTTTAATATTGAATATTTGACTGATTTACATTCACCTTTTGAAAGCCATGCGTGATAATTTTCGGAGGTGCGTTTGGCAAATTCTCGCTTTTTGTAGTCTACGTAACCTGCTTCACAAGAGCAGGTGGACTTATAAATACACATTGATGCGGTCCAGTGAGAGAGTTTGTTTATGATACATCTACAAACGATGGAACGGCTGAAAAAGACGGTGCGATGATTAGGGTTATAAAAGGTTTCCTTCAAGGATTTTTCAAATCTTTTTCAGCAGTATTTCCCTTTAACTAAAGGATTAGCAACAGAGTCTTCTTAGGGATTGTATGGGTTCTTGTAGACCGTAATTTAGGTTTCATATCGCATTCAATAAACCTGCATAGACGGCTGTTTTTGAGGAATGTCTATCAAGGTTGTGTAGTTCCTTGTTTGTCGTATCTCCCTACTATATTCACATAGCTTTCGATGATAAAAACTAAATTAAGCTCTTTTTCTGCTTAAAGGCTTCCAGCTATGGAAATACGTGTATTTCCCATTTCAAGTTGGTGTTAGGTTTATAGACCTTTACAATGTACCATGTTGTGAATAGGATATCGAGGAAACGAAATTTTGAATTTGATTCCGATTCCAATGTAAATTTGATGGATTGACGGCAGTCACTGAACTTATCCACGATGAAGTTGAGGTCGCTGTTTTCATAATAAAAAATGAAAGTTTCATCCATATGCCTCCTGTATAAGTGAAAGTTTTCAGTGTTCGGTCGAAGTACTGTGTCCTCACGATTGTTCATGAAACAATTTTCAAGAACAGGGCCAAACAGTAAACCCATAGCGACGTCATTAATTTGTCTGTTAAACTCATTATTAGATCGAAACTGAACTCCGACGGTGCATCGTAGGAATACTTCCTTTAGATAATGCTTTTGAGCACTAATATCGAGGTTGTTGTCTTCACTATAATCATAGGAGGTCTATGTTCTCTGTTAGTGGAAATGGATGTCACATCTAAAGATGCTATTATTATTGCAGTTACACTGCCATATATATTTCTCTAAATAGCTTGAAATCGTAATGCTTATACGCAACGACTTTAAAACTTCACTTTTTCCTCGGTTCATTCAGATGTTTACTATACAAGGAGTACTTACAAATAAATCGAGGATTATGGGAACTGTCATTTATTTTTTTGAATAAGCGACTGATACTAAGCTATGAAATGTCAGAGATTCAGTTTCCTACTCACTGGGTTAGTATAAAGTGATCATTATTTTTGTTATTAAATATAAGGTAGTTTACAAAAGGGCAAACTTATAAATATAAAAATTCCTTGATTATTAGAAAATGTTTTTAGTTGTACTGATATTTTGAGTAACATCTAACCTGGTACTTCAGTAATTACTTCAGACCGTACACTTGGAATATAATGCTGAAAAGTATTTACGTATCTTGCTAAACTGAGTGAAATTTGATTAGATGTTCGTTTTTGGTGATAATA